GGGGGGGGAAGAGGGGGGCAGGATATGAAAGGCTGGAATGTGATGGGGGAGATAAAGGCAAGGGGGTGGTTGGTAAAAAGTGAAGGAATAATTAAAAAAGAAAGAAGGTGGAGAGGGATGGATGAGCAGCAGGAATGAGGGGGGGCTAACTAACGCTGCGAGAGAAAGAGTGAGTCCACAAAGTGTGTCGGAACAATTACAGAGGGGTGAGACGGATGGCTGAAATGTGTTCTAGCTTCAGGTGGAAAAAGGACAAGAGGAGAAACGAGAGGAGGGGAAAGCTCCCGACACCTCCTCCTCCTCCTCCTCCTCAGATACAGCCCTACATATATTAGAGAAAATTAGCCATTGTGGAAAATGTGCTGCAATTAACGCCATGATCTTCCTCTGAATGGCTACAAATATGCGCTGCCTCGAGGCAGATTCAGACGCTGCATCATTTCCTGACTGATTTGACAGAAAAATCTCGTCCCATTGTTCTGGAGTCAGACCTACGAGTCTCTTTAGAGCCACAGGACTGTTCCGGGCTGTTCTGGGTGCCTCCTCGCCACCATGATGGCATCTGAGAAGTCATCCAGCAGCCCAAACATCCAACCAGTCGTACATGATTATAATCAGCCTACAGAAGAGCAGCGCATCCTACTGTAGATGTTACGAAGCGTTCAACTCAGTACATCACGAATTACCGTATTTTTCAGACTATAAGACACACTTAAAATTATTTAATTTTCTCAAAAACTGACAGTGAGCCTTATAGTCAGGTGCGCCTTATGTTTTAATTCTGGTTGTACTTACAGACCTCAAACCGATTTTATGTGATTACTGTGAATGAGTTGAATAAAGTTCGACTTATCTGACTGTTGCGTTTCACTTAATGCACCTTATAATCCGGTGCCTTATAGTCAGAAAAATACAGTACTTTTATTAGACAAACTCAGGATTGTTGGCTTTGGTCCCTAACAACTTCTTATCAGACGGGACCCAGAGAGTCCAGGTTCACAATCACAAACCACAGCTTCTTAAGATAACCAAAGTTGAGCTCCAAGGTTCCACTTTAGCTCCTACTTTTAGAAATGGTTTCAATAAAGATGTTCCTGCTGAACCACGTTCACTGTATACGCAGATGACACAGTCATCTACACATCTGCTCTCTCTGCTGCCAAGAAGTACAGACTGGATTTCTGGAACTACAGAAAGCTTTAAAGGGTCTATAACTGGTTTTAAATGCCCATTAGACAAAACGTGGTTTTATCCAAAGCTTGCTTATAATTCTCTGCAAACTTGGACACGTTTACATCCGATGGCTGAATGGGTGTCCTATGAGCATTGGAGGATTTGGGTCAATAAAAGCGTGCATATTTCCATTTTAGAAATAAATCATGTACAAACTTGTGGAAGCGAGTGTTTCTACCTGTGACTGATTATGGTGACATACTCTACATGCCTCTTAGCCCAGACTCTGCTTCATGCTTCATTGCTCCATGTTCTCCCTCACCTCTGTACTCTATCATCAGGAAGGTTAGACATCTCTAATGACTCATAGGCAGCAACACATGTTTATTTATAAAGAACAAGTGGGTAAACGCCCTAAACACTTCAGTACCCTACTGCCAGGCAGCTCTCGTAAACGTTTAGTATTGAAAGTTACCCGGACTTTAACAGAACAGCATTTTCCTCATCATCTGTCTCTGAATAATGTTTTAAAAAGTGACTCAAATCAAATCCTGCTTCATCATAAACTGTTCTAGATTCTTGATCTGAGTTGACCGGACTTTAAATTTTATTTGCGAGTTCATAAATATTTTGAGATGTTCAAGTGCAAGTATATTTTCAGACTTCATGCATGCAGGACTAATTACTGCACATTTCTCATTTTTTATGGAACTAGTTCAACCTCAGGCAGCTCATGAAACAAAGTTTGACGTGTATTCCTTGATTCATTTCAGTGTTTAGGTTTTATCATTTTGTTCACCTCCCTCTCATAATGCAAGCTGCTGGGTTAAAGTTCACATACACAAAGTTCAGGTAACTCACCTTGACTATATCTTCCATGTAAACATCCGCCATCTTGTTTGGCACCTTGATCTGGAAGAGCCGGCCAACCACCGCCGAGGAGTCTGGGAAGGCTGAGGGTGGTGCCGTGTCCTGCCGGGACGCTGTAGTAACACTGTCCTCCATCACCTGGAGGCCTTCCGTCACCTCCTGGAAGTCGTGCAGCAGCGAGGAGTGCATGGAGGCCTCCAGCTCGCTCCGGTCTCCTCCCTGCCCCTCACCTTCTCCACCTGCTTCTATCAACACCATCGCCCCGTCTGCGTGGGCCGACGGAGGCAGCCAGCCCGCTGCAACAAGTACCAAACCCAGAAGCAAGAGTCTAGTCCTGGGTAGTCTCACGTCGAGGCCCCCGCTTGCATCGAGCAATCCCCCACCGTGTTTATTGCACATTCTTTGCCTTTTGTCTGCCTCTCACTAATGCAGAAACAAGTGAAAAGGAGGATGTCCAAAAGGAGGGGAGGGTCTCAGGGGGAGCATGCACCCCCAACAGATAGAGCAAATCCCTCTTTTCAAATCTCCCCTCCACTCCTCGCCAGGCGCCTTCTTCTGCTGCGTCTCCTCCCCTCTCTTTTGTCCTCCGTGGTTTGATTCTTCCTGTTCCCCTCAGAGTTTTGTGTTGGACTCGCAGAGATTCAGGCGTCCCATTGAGCCGAGCACCTCGGAGACCTGCGAGGGGAAAAAACAGAAAAACAGACGAAGGTGAGAGGAGGGAACGTTCTGCAACTGAAGAGCCTCACACTCAATCAGAACTCAGCTCTTCAGACTGATCCAAGCTGCACAAGGTTGATAAAAACTATTAGAACGTTGGTGCCGGGGAGTCGTCTGATGAATTTTAACAACAGTTTGTGTTCCTGCTCATCAGTGACTGGAGTTCAGGGAGTGACAGTAAAGGGATATGATGAAAGATGAGCAGATAAAGGAGGGGTGGTGAAGGTGACTCTACCAACAATGGGCGACCAGTTAAAGCTTTCTAGAGGATTGCTAATGAATGCATGCCTTCTCCTTTGTGATGGGGTCGTGCTGAGTGTGTGGAGGTGTGTGTTGCAGGCCTGGACCCAGGAGATTGTTATTCATAAAACTCTTTCATGGAGGAGAGGAACCCCTTCTGTGCAAGAGCTCGTGTGTTTGTTGGAACACAAAAGACTTCTTCTGAGGGCTTTGGTTAGAGAGAACCTGACTGAAAGAAGGCAGAACGAGAAAGTGAGGAAGAGAAAGAAAAGAAGGAGAGAGACTCCTGCTGTGAATCCACTTCATCCTGTCAGCCAAAGTGAAATCACAGCAGGAGTCTCCTGAAAACACCAACAATGCACGGCCTCCATGTAGCTGGGACCAACCTAAAAACACGCCTCTGTTGGAACAACGCTCCTCGTCTGGAACACCAGCGTCAGGATTAAAACGAAACATTTGGGTCAAAGGATCCTAAACTTTGTTATTTTGTGAAAGTCTAGCTTTTAGGAGTTTCCCCATTCGTAAATTTTCTTCAAAACCCAAACATCCCTCTCCACAGCAGCACTTTCTAGCTCCTCCTGAAAGATCTCAAGGTGTTTCCAGACCATAATGAGTACATACTCTCTCCAGGTCTAATCCCAGGTGCTCATGAAACCTCCAGAAGGAGGCATCCAAATCTGATGCTGAACCACCTCAACCTCCTCTCTAAGGCCGAGCCCGGCCCCCTCATGGAGGAAGCTCATGGTCATGACTGAGTGGGTGGAGAGATGCGCTCTGGTCTGTTGGGATGAGGTATGGATCAGGTATGAAAGAACCAGATCCTGGATCCAAGCGTCTGTAATGAGCTTCCTCTGTGGGGGGTGTAAATGGATAAACGTCTCGCAGTGGTCATGGCTGAGCAGTCAGGGTGACGTCCCAGTTATCACTTTCTCTCTTATTCAGTCCGTCACCCAAATCTCTTTAAACTCCTCTAGTCTCTCTTGTTCTCAGGACATTTTGTAGTTTTTCTTGTTTCTTCCTATCCTCCCACCAGAAGATTCATATCCTCCATGTCAGATCTCTAAAACCTTCAAAGCGGTTTTATTTTTCTCCTGGCTCTAACTTACTCATCAGAAACACTGTCCGCCTTTTCACCGCCTGACAGAAGGCCAACAGTGGAGCGGCAGAGTCTGTATAAGAAAAGAGCTGCCGAGCTGTCTCTGCAGCTCCATGAAGGGGGGGCCGTCAACAGGCTCAATACACGCCCACAAAAAGACCTCTGCACCATCATCTCCTCAACACCTCCACACCCAGTCCACCTGGTACTGATGTCTCCACTGCAGATGGACAGGAACATGGAGGACGGACAGGCTAAACATCGAGAAGTGCTGCCATGCTCCATGATCTGTCTGTGCCCTGACCTTTAATGTCACCATCGCCGACGGCTAAATACAAAAAAAAATAAAAAATGTACAGTTTAGCCCGAGGTCATCTGGTTTTGGCTTCATGTCAGCTGAAACCAACCGTCCTGCGGTTTTACAGCAGTAGCTTCAGGTAAGAGAACCCCATCTTTGCTGGGCGTGACTGACTGTTGATCATTGATAAATGACCAGATGCAGGTGTACAGGAGCTGTTGGTCCCACTGCAGAACGATCTTGTGAAAAGACCTCAAGACTTGGAGTCAGTGCAGCTCTCAGGAGCTTCGTCTGTAGTTTACCACATCAGCTAAAGTGGGAGGAATGATCCTGGACAGACCAGGAGGCATCCCAACATGGTGAGAACATCTGGACTTAGAGGGCTGACGACAGAAAAGAGGATCTGTCTTCAGGCTGGCTCTGTCCTGGGAAGTTCTGAACCAGAAAACAGCTGCTAACGGGTTCTAATGCGAGGTAGCAGCCAACGGTACCAACATGAGCACTAAACAGATTCAGGTCCAAATAATTAGACTGCCAGATGCTAAAACCTGCACTAATGGACAGAAACTGATGGACTCAGGTACCAGCTCATGTGAGCTAGCAGATGCTAACGTTAGCACTAATGAACAGATTCAGGCACAAAACATTAAATATGGTCAAAGGTAAAAGGACTGTACTTATACAGCTCCTTTCCATCTTATCAAGACACTCAAAGCTCTTTACAACAATCTGTGCTTCATTTACCCATTCATACAGCACTCTAATAGATCTATACAAAGACTAATCAGAGCTTCATCACATTCAAACATCGATGAGACGCACATCAGAGGCTATGAGGGGTTCAGTGTCTTGCCCAGGGACACTTCGGCATGTGACTGCTGGTGGAACTGAACCCCCAACTCTTACATTGGAGGACAACTGCTCTAACCACTTACCCACAGCTGGCCATAATAGTAAGATTATCTAATGCTAACGTGAGCTAAAAGATGCTAACATTTCAAAGTTAAAGTAACGAGCAAACAGATGAAAACAGCTGCTGTCACATAGCAACAGATGATAAAATGTTTTTAGCTTCTTGAGCTTCAGCTGTACGTTTAAAGCTGATTGTTCTGCGGCGGGAACCACGACTGCTTTCTTTTTAATCTGCCAACACCTGCCAGTTCATCTTGGTGCGCTGACTCATCTTTTTATAAGGTGCACCTTTCATCGTGGTGGTGGTGGAAGGTGCACCTTTCATCGTGATGGTGGTGGAAGGTGCACCTTTCATCGTGGCGGTGGTGGAAGGTGCACCTTTCATCGTGGTGGTGGTGGAAGGTGCACCTTTCATCGTGACGGTGGTGGAAGGTGCACCTTTCATCGTGACGGTGGTGGAAGGTGCACCTTTCATCGTGGTGGTGGTGGAAGGTGCACCTTTCATCGTG